GCTCCCACTCAAGACCAAACAGCCTCCCCAAACATTCATTGAACATTTGTGGAGCATCAGCTGTCCATTCTAGGAGAGACAGAACTACATCTGCCATGTTTGCTCTTGTATCTTTATTTCCAGTTCAGTGCTAGACACAGAGCAGTTGCTCCATAAATATCTGTGCTGAATGAATAAATGAAGAAATTTGGGGAATTAATGAAATAAGCATTTTATCACCTCTTTCTTCAAGCAGTTAATAAATTGAGAAGTGTTATTGGAATCAATGGCAGCAGGAATTTATTCAGATGGCTAATAAGCCTATGAAAAGATTAAGCCCACAAAAGCAGACCACTACTCACCTACCATAATGGTAAATTAAAAAAAAAATTGACAATACCAGGTGGTAGGAAGATGTGGAGCAACTGAAATTCTCACACTCTGCTGCTTGGAGAGTAAATTGTTACAGCCAATTTGAAAAGCTGTTTGGCAATATTTACTAAAGTGAAACACATGCCTACCCTATGACCCAACAACTCCATTCTTAGGCATATATTCAAGAGAAATACATGTGTATGTTCATAAAAAACACATATCAAAATGTTCATATTGGCCTTACTCATAGTAGCTCCAAACTGGAAACAATGCAAATGCCCATCAATAGGAGAGTGGATAAATACTTAGGATATATACATATAATGGAATACTACACAGAAAAAAATTAACTGCTAATAAAAGCCACAATGTAAATGAATCTCATAGACATTAAATGAGTGAAAAATCCAGGAACCAGGCCGGGTGCGGTGGCTTACGCCTGTAATCCTAGCACTCTGGGAGGCCGAGGCGGGTGGATTGCTCAAGTTCAGGAGTTCAAAACCAGCCTGAGCAAGAGCGAGACCCCATCTCTACTATAAATAGAAAGACATTAATTGGCCAACTAATATATATAGACAAAATTAGCTGGGCATGGTGGCACATGCCTGTAGTCCAAGCTACTTGGGAGGCTGAGGCAGGAGGATTGCTTGAGTCCAGGAGTTTGAGGTTGCTGTGAGCTAGGCTGATACCACAGCACTCATTCTAGCCTGGGCTACAAAGCAAGACTCTGTCTCAAAAAAAAAAAAATCCAGGAACCAAAATATGCCTATTTTATTTAAATAAAGTTCAAAACCAAAAATAATCATTGGTGATACAGTCAGAATAGTAGGCACCTATGTGGTTTGGGAGTATAGATTGGAAGTGGCATGAGAAAACCTAAGGTGTTGGAAATGTTTTATGTCTTCACCTGGGTGGAGGTGACATGAGTATAGACACATGTAAAATTTCACTGAGCTATATGCTTAAGATTAGTGCCCATTTATTGTATGTTATGCCCCAATACAAATAAAGCATGGATATTATAAACATGCATACACCTAGCATCCCTAAAAACTCAACACCTCCAGCAACTATGCTCCCTGTACAGAAGGTTGTGTTATACTGAGGCTAGTATCTGCAGTACCATCTCACCAGTGTGATGGCCACTGGTGAGAAGATGGGCCAGTTCATCACCTTGGGCCATCATTCAGGGCCTCCCTATTGAGAAGACCAGGTTCATCAGTTATGGTTTCAACCCTCTTCCTGACTGTCTTCCCACACACTGTGGACGTCCTCACCATCATCACTCCCCCTACTCCTTTCTCAGGAGATGGGGTCTGTCGTCTTGTTCATGGCCCATTAGCCTGCGTCCTTGAACCCACATGATCCTATCTCCTCAACTTTTTGCCATCCTTCAACTTTCTTTTGCTCACATTTTCAACCCTTTCCTTTCAACTGAATACTTCCTGTCAGACTACAAATAGCTCAAGTTTCTCCTGTTTTAAAAGAAATCCTCCTTTGAGCCCAGTCCCCCTTTCAGCCATAGCCCAATATATCTTTTTCTCTTAAACTCACAGCTTTGCCCACTCTACCAAAAATTCCATGGGCAAAGGTCACCAAAGAATTTCCAACATCCAAAGAACATTTTCCAGGCCTTACTTTCCAGACTTTTCTGATACATCTGATGTTGCCCATTCCTCTTACTTTGAGACCTTACTCCTTTCACTTCCACTACACCACAACCTCCAGGCTCTCCTTGTTTCCAGATGACCATTTTCTCTCTGTCTCCTTTGGGGGTTCTTTGCTCTCCCTTTCTAAGTGTTGCTCTTCAGAGTTCTTCCCTTGGTCCTCTTCTCAGCTCCACGTGGGCATTCTTCATGGACTTTACGACGTCCACACCACTTACAGGCAGATGACTCTCAAATCTGTTTCTCCTGAGGGTGGGGCTATGCAGACAGCCTGTTTGCTGGACAACTGAATCTGGACATTCTATGAGCATGTCAAGTTCAAGGCGTTCAAACTCAAGCCATGATTCTACTCCCCACCTACCCTTTTCCTCTTCTATCTCAGTTGGTTGTACTGCCCACATTCACCTGATCATTCAAACTATAAACCCATGATTTAAACCAAGGTTCTGAACCTCAGCAGTATTGATATTTTGGGCCAGATAATTCTTTGTGGTGGGGATTCTGTCCTATCCATTGTAGAATGTTTAGCAGCATCCCCAACCTCCGTCCACAGGATGCCAATATTAATGTACCTGTTGTGATAACCAAAAATGACTCCAGGCATCAACAAATATCCCTTGGTGGGGAGGGAGTTAAAATATCTTGGGGTTGAGAACCACTGGGTTAATGGCATGGGTCTTGGAGTCACATATACCTGTGCAACTTTGAACAGTTACTACCTCTCTGGGTCTTAGTTTGTTTTCTCTGTAAGAGAGAGACAATTCTCACCTTACAGGTAGAACTGAAATAAGATAATACAGGTAAAGTGCATGGTCTGACCCACATTGGACCTTTCAACAAAAACTCCTCTCTCTTATCCTTATATTCAAGCTCTTAGGTCTCTCAGTTTTACCTCCTAATCATTTCTTGTCTATCCACTCTTCTCTGTTTCTGCCTGGAAATTGCAACTTCTTTGCAACTGGTCTCACAGGTTCCAGCCAGCCCCACTCTGCTCGGATCCACACTCCTCATGGCAGGTGAGGCTTTGTGGCCCTGGATCTCCAGTCCAGCCCTGCTGAGATGCTAGGCGTTCCTTGGAAAACCGTGCAGTTTCCTGCTCGTGCTGGTCCTTCAGCCTCCAGTAACCTCCCATACTCTTTATCTGGCTGACTCTCATTCTTTAAGGCTCACTCAAGTTTCATCTCCTCCAAAAAGTTAAGCTGGGGCTTCCTTCCCCATTTCGCTCAGCACTCCCGCTGTGTCCCTGCAGCACCCTGCCAGATCTCTCTCTTTGCATCCTTCTCATCATGTCGTATTTTTGTTTCTGTGTCTGTCTCTGCTGGGGTGTGTGGGGCAGGGACTGTGACTTCTTCATCTCTATATGCATAACATCTAGCACATTCCCTGACACACAGACAGTGCTCAGCAAATATTTATTGAGTGAATGAATGGACAGCACCACTGGGTGCTGTTCTCTTACATTAACCCCTATGTTAGGTTTAGAGCCATAGTTTATAAGTGGTTATAAAATAGTCCATAAATCTGCTGTCTCTGTGGCTCACAAGCAGTGCCTCCTCAGCCAGGGACTTTTGGAAGGCACAGCGCTGAAGGGTAACACTGGCAAAGACATGCATGGTTGAGGAACGAAGCAGGGAGCGACATCACCACCGATATCATCGGCTTCCAACAGCAGCAGCTGGCTCTTCTGAGAATCAGAGGCACCTTCCTCACCTGTTCCATCAGTGGTCTTTCAAGTATCCTAATTCAGGGCCTTTCCTGTCAGTGAACTTCTTTCTCTAACTCCTCCATTCAACTCCGGATTTGTATTTGCATTTTTGCAGTTGACTCAGCCATTTAGCCTGCAAATACAGTAGTCCCTCAGTATTCGCCAGGGATTGGTTTCAGGGTCACTGTGGATAGCAAAATCCGCGGCTGCTCAAGTCCCTTACAATATACCCTCCGTATCCGCGGGTTCTGCCCCTTTGGAACCCGCCGATATGGTGGGTTGACTGTATAAATGAAGCACTACAACGTGCGAGGTGCTGGGGTGCATGGTTGGCTCTTCTGTCTTCTACAACAGTGTGCATAACCTATGCGAGGTTTACTCGCCAGTGTTCGTCAGACCTGGGATCCCACAGAGGAGCCAACCAGGACGTGAGGCCCGCGCCATCCTGGGATTTGTGCTGGATCAGCGCGTTTAGACCCTTCTCTTACTAAGCCCCAGGAAGGCAGTCTAGGCAGGTACAGAGCAGAAGTCAGAGGTGTTTAGTCGATGTGGCCCTCCTTTCTCCAGTAACAGTAGAGCTTTGTCAGGAATAAGGGCACAGGATTGGTCTGCGGAGTTCTGCTAAATCTCTTTTCGAGCTCAGCCCTGTGAGTCTCAGTTGCCTCATCTGTCAGGAGTGTGTATTGGGAGGGGGCCGAAGAGCAGATGGATCATTCAGGGCCCTCCCAGTTATCAGATGATGCTGGGGTGTGTATGAAGGTGAGGGAGGACACTGGCCACGCGAAGGTAATTCGGCCAAGCCAACGAGCCGAGCGTGCCCGCGGGACGGGCAAGGGATCCCCGGGAGCCGCCAACGCAGCCGCCACCCGGGAGGCTCCGCGGTGGAGCGGTCCCCTGAGCCGGAGGGCGGGCTTGAAAGGACCCAGCGGCGAGGCGGGAACTGCTCGGTGGCCTCCGAGAGCCGTGTGCGGTGGAGAAACCTGGCTCCTGCTGGGCAGGGATCAGCCGGGTCGCGCCCTGTGGGGCGGGGCGGGCCTGGGCCAGGGGGCGGAGCAGCCAGGAAATTCCCAGGAAATTCCTTTCCACTGCAGCCCCTCCTCACCCCCTTTCCTAGGGCGCCGACCTGCCCAGACCCAGGTTCCCTGGGAAAGAGAAAATGAAATGATCTTCGGGTTTTCTCGCGTCCCTTCCCAGCCACCGCCCACCCCGGGGTGTGGAGCGCGCGTGGGAGCGCAATAACGGTGGCTGGGAACGGGTCCAATCCCCAGCGGCTCCTGGGGCTCCCGAACGCGCTGCCACTCAGTCCCCAAGCTCGAGGAGGCGTCCCCCGGCTTCAGTCCCGTTCAGCTTAAGCTGGTGTCACATGAGCGGCGGGGGAGTGGGAACCGGGGGAGTGGGCGGGGGTGTGCGCGCTAGGAGGGGGCCGCCCAGTCCACCTATATGCGCCGCAGCCGGCTGACGGATGCCAGGAATTCCCAATGAGAGGCGATGGGGGGAAGTTTGGGCAACTCGGCCTGGCCAATGGAGAGCCTCGGGAGGGCTCTGCCCCTTCCCCCCGCCCCCGCCCGCCTCGGCTCCCGCAGCGCGAGTGTGTCCGCCTCGCTCAGTGTGCGTGGAGATTAGGTCCGAGCGCCGGCCCGGAGGCAGGCAGTCCGTGAGCTCCAGCCGCCGCTGTCGCCGCCAGCAACAGCCTTCGCAAGCAGCGCCGCGGCGGAACCCGGCGCAGGGGACCCAGCCCGGCCCCGCCAGCCCATCCTAGCCCGGCCCGACTCCCTCCCCACGCCGGGGCAGCAGCCGCCGCCGACACCCGGAGAGAAGGTGGAGGAAGAAAACCAGCCCCTAGCACGCGCGCACCATCATGGACCATTATGATTCCCAGCAAACCAACGACTACATGCAGCCCGAAGAGGACTGGGACCGGGACCTGCTCCTGGACCCAGCCTGGGAGAAGCAGCAGAGAAAGGTTAGTAGCCGCCCCGGCCCGCTGCAGCCCCCAGCCCCGGCCGGCTCCGCCCGCCGCGCTCCTGGTTCCCGGCTCTGGGCTTTGAACCGGTTCCGGCGCGCACGGGAGGGGGCGGGGGCCGCGCGGCCGCTGCGAGGTGGGGTGTTGGGTTACAGGCGCGGGGCGGAAGGGGGAGCGCCCCTGCCCCGGAGCCCGAGAACGCCCAGCCAGAGCACAGGGAGGTGGCGCCGCCGGCGGGCAGGTCGCCTGGGGGCCCGTGACCCAGGCCACCCGCTGCTGCCGCAACCATCCCCGCGTGGGCTGAGCGCGAGGGCGGTTCTCCGGAGGCTGGGGCTGAGACTGAGACCCCGGCTCGGTGGCTGCTTGCTCCGGATCGATTTTCCCTTCCCTCCCCGCCCCCGGCCGCCTCTCCATATGGCGTGCGGTGGCAGCGCGCTTCCTGGCCCGCCCTGGGCTCAGTACCTGAGGGGCAAGCTGCCTGGGACCTGCGCCCCCCAGCCCCAGCCCGCAGGCCGAGGGGAGAGCGGGCGCTGGAGGGATCGGCGGCCGCCTGCGGATCTGCCTGGAGGTGGATCAGCTGGAGTGCGGTTGGAGCAGAGAAAACCGGGGGGCGTACGCGGGCTCCTCCGGGCCCTGTGGGGGCGGGGTCAGTACTGCAAACCGTTTTATTGCTTAACTCAGTGGGTTGGTAGCTGCAAGCCCCAAATGGGCTTGCGTCTACGTTCAGCCCTCCGACCCCCGCTCTCTTCCTGGGGAAAGGCGAATTTGGGGTGCTTAATTCGGGTTGAGGGGCTCCAGGGCGAGGGACTGTCACTGGGGATATTTGGAGACCCCTGCTTAGCCACGGAGCTGCCTCTCAGCCACTGTGCGCGGGGTGCGCGCTCCGCTACCGGGGCTGGGCTCGGAGCTGCCGGTGGGACGCGGGCACAGTGGCCAGTGGCAGGAAGAGGTCAGAAACCACTCTTGCTGGTGGGGCGAGAGGGCGCCCCAACCCTGCGGCTGCTTCCTGCCTCGCGGTGAGCCCTTGCCCCAGGCGGCCACGTACCCTGAGTACCCCCTCCCTCCCCTCCTCCCCACTGCCCGCTCCCATCCGGTCCCTCCCCGTTTCACAGTCTCCCTCCCCCCCCGCGCTGATCTGGGAATGGGGGGGGGCAGGATGGCGCGTCCCTCTGGATAGTGCGGTTAGGGCTGGGCTTGAGGGAGAACGCTCATGTCCAAAAATGGTAACATTCATTCCCTTTTTTAAACTTAAAAGGGGGGGAGTTTAGAGAGCCGACTGAAGTTTTTTTTTCAGCCAAAGGCATCCTGTATTAGCTCACTCAGGAATCCTAAGCCCTGAAACGGTGCCCTTTTACTCACTTCATCAGACAAGCAGAGGTAATTTAAAACACACACAATGAGCTTCCTCAAAACGGGGCGACCTGGGGCTCCAGTGACCAACGCTGGGCCCCGACCTGTACAGCGACCTATACAGCGACGTTGGAAGTCCCCTGGCTTTGAACTGACTTCTTTGTAATGTGGCACTTGCTTAAACACGCCCTCTACCTCTTCCTGTCGGCCCCCTAGGGAGGGCTGGGAGTTCAGGGGCTACCTACAGCCTCCCATTTTCTTGGCGTATTTCCTGGGACCTTTGGGCTGTTGGTAGAGTTGAAAATTGAGTAATTTGGAGATTCCTAGGGGGAACAAGGCAGGGGACTCTTTTAGAATTTCACAGTGCAGCCTTTTTGAGAATAGATTTTAAATTGGACCAGCAGAGTGAGATCGGGGTGGTGGACGTCTTGGTGTCTTCTGTGACGGTTAGAAGTAGAAATCTCTGCTTAGGGAACACCTGCTTTGCTTCAAGGAGGAGCAGGAGTGACCAAGCTACTCCAGAATCAGGCCCCTTGTAGAGACTGTGAGACTAAGTTCCTGGGCAGACACTGAGCATGGGCCTGCACATAGTATTCGGTGTTCTCGAATGAATGGGTGAGTGTACTCAATGTAGGTGGGGAGAAAGATGTAGATTCCCAGAACTCTGACCTGGGTGGGTGTGCACCAGGCCACTGGGCAGTCAGGTAGGAACAGGTCTTCTGGGAAACTTAGTAATCTAGGGGGCAAACCCAACAGCTGGCATTCGCTGACATGTGCCAGGCACTGTTCTAATCACACCGTGTTGATTGTCCCAGTTGTTGCTCCCGGGAGCTCTGTGAGCCAGGCACACCTGAGGATGAGGAAACAAGGGCCATAGAGGGAAGTGACCAGCCCAGGGTCCCGTGGGCTGGGCCACAGCCATGTTTGAGACAGGCAGCTTCCCCTCACTTGTCCCTCCTTGGGGAGGGAGGCAGGAAAGCTGGGCCTGGCATCCAGAGGAGCCAGCACCTGCTTTGAGGGGGATGATGGGGGGCGGGGCACGACAGAAGGAGCTCTGGGCCTGACTCAGAGTATCAGGTCTAAGTTCATTTCAGCTGTCATTAATTCTGTAGGTTATCTTTTGTGGGCCTGGATCTGTAAAAGTCCTGGCCTGCTTAGTTCTCCGCAGGGTGGTGGGGAATCTAAGGAGGTGGTTTTACAGGTGGGGATAAGACTTAGAGTAACTTGTTGCTTTCGACACTCTCCCTACTGAGTGTGGGAGGTGGGAGCTGAGTGGAGGAGGACATTAACACATACTGTGATACAAAAGTCACTGGGCGTGGCAGGAGACCCTCTTTTTAGTGATACAAAAGTCACTGAGGTGGCAGGAGACCCTCTTTTTAGTCCTGGTGCAACCTGGCTATCTGTGAGACTTTGGGCACAACTATGCGTTTCATCGAGCCTGTACCTTCGTTAGATCATCTAACAAATACTTTGTGGGCACGTCCTCTGTGCCAGGCACGGTTCTGGGTGTTGGGGATAGGTCACTGAACAAGACAGACCAGGTCTCTGTTCTTGTGGGGCTTCCATTATGTTTTCTCATCTGCAAAGGGAGCGCTTCTGCCCTGCTGAGCCCTCGGGGCTCCTACGGGGATCAGATGAAGTGCGGGGATCAGATGAAGTGCCGTGTTTGGAAATGCTTCCTGTGGCAGAAGTCTGTGCATGACTCAAGAAACTGCTTCGGGTTGGCCATGGCTTGTTCCTTCTTCAAAGAATGCTTCAGTGCAGAGTTCATCGGCTGGTCTCCCTGCCTCCAGACACGGAATGCAGTTGTCTTGTGGATTAGAGGAATTTCCCATACTTTTCTAGCTTTTGTCATCTTCCTGACCCCTGAGGCAAAGCTTTGAAGCCACTTTTTTCCCTCCCTCCCCTGGAGCCACTTTTACTGGGGGCAGCAGTAAAAGGATGACCACAGCCAGGTCAGGATGGCCACAGCCCCCAGTTTATGTCCTCACGTGGCTCTCACCCGTACCCTTACGTGTATGTGTGTGCCGGGTGTCAAGCAGGCTGGAAGAACTTGAGTTGGAGTAGGATCCTGGCGCTACACCTTCAGGCTTGTGACCTTGTTCCTCTCTGATCCTGATTCATGGAAAGGAACTAAAGCCCATCTTGCTGGGTCAGTTTTGAGAAGATATGCAAAATGCCAGCTTCTACTGTTAGATTTTATTCTCTCCCTTCCCTCTGAAGTCCTGGAGATTCTGGTTGGATGTGTACTGTCACAGGTGCTGGCCCTGGGGCTTTTTACATGTGGGAGCTTAATCAATATTTGTTGAGCGAATGGATGTTGAAACAGAGAGACAGCCTTGGCAGCTGAATGAAGGCCCAGGTCCCAGTTCCGCACCCAGGTCTGGCAGGTCACTGCAAGAGGGGTCACCTTGTTTACACTTGCTTCTGACCATCGCAGAAGCTAACCAAAACCACCCGGGAAGGTGGAGGACTGGGAAGAGGGGAGAGTCTGCCATGAGCGATTTTACCTGGGGAGGAGTAGGCATCAAAAGCCAGGGTGATGCCTGGTGGAAATAAAACCAGAGAGAGGAGAAAGTGGCTGTCATCTCCATCCTCACACCCCTCACTGTTTTGTCCTTCCTGCTCCACTCCATGCCAGTGTCCTCAGAGGCAGAGACCCAGCTTGTCCTGGTCTCTGCTGAAGGCCTAGTGCCTAGCACAGGGGCAGGCCTGTTTGCAGGTGGCCTGGTCAAGACATAGTTCTGAAAAATTGATTAATGGCATCATGTGTGGCTCCAAACTCCAGCCGGGGGGTAGGGTGGGGTGGGGTGGGGATAGTGATGAAATGGTTTATGTTCAGATGACCACCCCATTCTGGGGCTGTCCCCAGGCTCTAGCTTCTGCAGATAAACACACTGTGGGTCCAAATCTTAGCCTCTCGAGACTCACCAGCTGTTGCGATCTTGGCGAGTCACTCACCTGCTCCAGGCTTGATGTAGCAATAGGGACATGGGGGTAATAATAGTTCCTGCCCGATAAAATTATGTGGAGGTTTCATTAATGTCTGTAGGGGATTTAGCTTAGCACCTAGCATGTAGTGAGTGCTCAGTAAATGTTAACTATTTGGGGGAAGTAGAATGTCTATGGTCCCTACCATAGGCATTGCGACAAGACATGGTACATAAACCCACCTTTGGAGGAAGCATGGTTGGCTATGGGAGTTGTGTCGTTCTTGATCTCTGGCCCTGAGTTCAGCTCTGGCTCATTCTAAGTCACTTAATCTCTCTGGTGTAGACTTCCTTGCCAACCCTTTCCCTACTTCCTGGGTATCAAAGATGCAAGGATGGATGTTAATGTGCTTAAAAGCAGTGTCAGCTTGTGTGGGAAAATGACCACACAGTACGAATTCCCTGCAAGAGCAGTTTAGCCCCGAGGTCTTCAGGCGAGGCATATTCTCTGGGCCTGCCCGCCCCTCCTGGCAGCTGGTCCAGCCCTGCTTTTCCCAGGACCTGATGCAACTCCTTCCTTTCCAGACCCTGTTCCACATGGGTGAGCTGAGGACGGGTGCTCACTGATCGACAAAGTGATCGACAAAGTCTGAGGGGAGACGGAGCGGGGAGGGGGAACCCCGCAGAGGCCAGCTGGCCCCGACCAGGCAGGTGGGC